ACTCCATCAACAAGTAAGAGACTCCGCTCAAACTGCAGACTCCCTGGCCCCTTGTATCTCATCCCTTCGCCTTCTTCCCGTTCGTTTACAGGTCCCCCCGTGAATCCACGCACGCGAGCTGTGCAAGAATATAGCCTCCTCCCCCTCCCCCCTCCCCATTCTCCAGGCCGCTGCATCTAATGCAAAGATGCTTCCGCTTGTGGCTGCACACCTACTACAATTGCATCGCAGCCATCTGCTCCTGCCTTGCCCCTCGGACGCGCTTGACGAACAACGCCTCCCTTCGCTGGCACCGAAGCCCTTCCTCTCTGCCGAAGAGTCTATCCAGAGACTGCAGGAAGTGGACGCTCAGCTGAGAGACACGGAAGCTACAATCAAGCTGATGGATACGCACAGCCCCCTTACTGCTGCCGAGGTAAAACGCATGCACGGACCTTTCAGAGTGCCATGCGGAGGCCTGAAGGAAGGCCAGTAGAGCACTCAGGTTGTCTCTTGGGCACTTGTGTGCATTCAAGGTGCTGAAGACAGCCTCCATGCCGCCTTTTTCTCTTTCTTTCACTTTCTCTGTCTCTCTCTTTCACTCTCTATTTTGCTCTGCTTCTTTCTTTCTGTTTTTCACTCTCTTTTTCTCGCTCCCTCTCTGTCTCTGGGGTCTCCTCTCACTGCCAGAGTGTATGCGGCTGTCTTGTTGCAGAGGAGCACGTCTTCGTCACGTTTTGTGTCGGCGTCTCGTGTGCTCTCTGAGGTTCATCACGCTGTGGGCTCAGTTCCTTCACTGGCCTCTCTGAAAAGGAGGTTGCAAACCAGGGGGTGGATCCCTGGAGAGGTAAACGCCCTTTGGATACAGCTCAGAGTGTATACCGACTTGGTTCTAGAGAGGCAGCGCTTGAGAGATAGTATTGCTGCTGCTGAAGGAAGAGCAGCAAAATGGAGTCAGGGCTATTCGGAAGCAGAGACTGCGAAGATTGCCCAATTCGCGCGACGAGACACAAAGTGACGCACAGTGGCGGACGCTCACTGAGGTCTGCCGAATCGGCTCGATAAAAGGGAGGCGGGAGGGAATGGAGGGGGAAGGGGGGACGGTGCTTTCGACTGCGCAAACAAGGGCGTAGCAAGTTTCCCCGACAGGCAGGGTACGCTCTGCCTCCCGTGTAAGAATGGTGGGCCCTCTGCAAGAGGGAAGAGAGCATCCCTCTCTTTCTTGTGCTTGCGTATCGGCCATGAAAGAGTCATTGGAAGGTGCTAAGGTGCTAAATGTTCCTGCACCGTCGTCGACCCTTCCGTTTTGGACAGAACGGCGGAGAGACACCCCTCGAGCCAGATGATGTGCAGCATTTAGAACCGCGAGGGGAGGCGGGGGCGCAGAGAGTTACTGACTTAGCTCCCTTTTATCTAGGGTAGAAACAATGCCCTCGAGGGAAAGGGGTGGCAGGAGAGGGGCCATGAGAGGCAAGCCATAGCTGGGCTTCTTCGTGTGCGTTGCAGTTCCGCTAGTATAGACCATTACAGAGACTACGGGGAAGTGAAAAAGAAATAGATACAACACACTCCGGATTGTCTACTAATTCCCAAATGTACTCGCTTTGGTGCAATAATGAGAAGAGCGACCGCGCTGCGTGTTGAGCTGCACAGACTCACCTACGCTTGCGCCGCGTTCTAGGCGGGAAAACGGCGACGAAAGCCTGCCTTGCGACATTTGAGTAGGAATCGACGTAGCATTAAGCGGGCTGAGCAGCAATGTACAGGTGGACTGAGAACCAACGTTAGCTGTGACAAAAAGCTAAAGGTCCTACTGGGACTTGAACCCAGGTCGGCGGATTCAGAGTCCGCAGTGCTAACCGCTACACCATAGAACCGCACGATTGCACAGAAACGCCTGCCCCAGTTGCTTATGTTGTTTAAATTAAAAAGAAATAGCTCCAGCAATTATGCACTGAGAAATCCTCTTCACGTAGGAGCGAATCCTTCTTACGAAGAAGGCTTCACTAGCTCCCTCCTCCTTGCATTTGAGAAACCAGCATCTTCTGTCTCTAGAGAAGCTTCTGCTTTTTGACGCTCCACAGTAATTTAAAAGACCCCAGAGGCTTACAGTGCTGCTACTTCACCCTTCAGAACAGTTAGAGCGGCTTCGGTTGTGGTGGAAGTCGAGGAATGGTAAAGCCTGTGGCGTTTCATAACGATTCGTGATATATTCAGCCAGCCAGTACAAAGGCGAGCTGCCTGGCTCGTCCTTCCAGCAACACAGTTGCGTTTGCTGGCTTGATGCTCTCTGGGTAGGCTCTTTCACAGCCGTAGCGCTCTACCCACCGTCTCATCATACACCAAGACCTTCATCGATTAGACCCGCAGGTAGGAAAACCACCTGGGAGTACAATCGGGAGAGTACTAGGAACCATGGCACGCTTCCTGCGGGACAAAAATGCCTCTAAGCGTTTGTCAACTGAGAAGAAAAAACAAAAGATTCCGCGGGCATATCCCTCATCCTTGATGCAGCAGGGCAGCTCTCGTACGCGAAGGATGGATTCCCGAAGCAAAGTGGTATGCAAGCGACGATGAAGACACGCCCTATACGCGGGTGAGCTCACCCATAAAGCTACCAACTACTATTTTAAAGTTGCAGCCGCAATGTTCCCTGTATAGTGGAAGGGCCTTCACGTCGTGTGGTGACACAGAAAGTCATTTGGCAGCAAGAATAGAGGTGTTTCGCTGTTGCACGACATGCATTTCTCCCGGTCAGGGGGCCTACATGCTGCAGTTCACGATGCTGAGCGATTTAGTACAGCACCTACTACTCTCTCCGTAGGGAAACACGACCCCCAACTCAATTCCAACTAAAAGTTTCCAATCTTCTTCCAAGGAGCACCTTGCTTGGTGCTCTCAGAGTTCTGATATGTGGGGGTCATGTAGGGTGCGCGCCCCTGCACCCTCTGAGCGCTCCGCTAATTCAGACGTAGTTGTACATTGCAACTAGCTCACATGCCTACAAAACTGTGTCTTGTTGTATAGAGCTCACATGTCCCTGCACTTACAAGAATACAAAGAACCAAGCCTCACTATCAGCCCTCTAGTAATTCTCAGTTAGGCATACCTAGGGTAGTCGAGCCCGCTACAAACGTATTCCTCTGAACAGCTCTTATTGTCGCGAAAACCAGCAGCCCACTGCGAGGTGGAAGAGCATGTCACCAAGGTGTATTCAGGTATGAGGCGAGCGTCTGGCGCCAGTTATACAGAAGAGATATTCTGCCTGAACCCCAGGCGAAACATTACCAAAAGTTGCATGGGCGTGGGGGCAGGGCCGAAAATGTGTAACACGGGTCCTTTCTAGGAAGTGCGTCTTCCAGATCGGAAACATGCATGAAAGCGCGTCAGAATAAAATAACAGAAAACGCTAGTAAAAAAACTCTGTGCGCTGTGGAACAATTAACTGCATAAGCTGCTTTTGCTGGCTGTGGTGAGACGCGCTACACGAGGAGCCCCTTCAGCATTAATGAGTACTGTTTTGCAATAGACTGAATCTAGGGCTTGACGTTCCTAGTTCTCGGCTTCAGAGTAGTACTAGTCATACAACCGTTGTATACTGAGAGGGCAGTACTCCACGGTGCATTTTGTGACTCTGTTCGCATGCTGGGACAACCTGTGGTGAAGGTGAATCAAGGGTACCTTTTTTCCTAGGCTCTGACGTGGTTTGGGGAATATGGCGTCGTTTAAAAGGTAACAGCAGTAGTGCTGGAACGATCTCCCTGAGCACACGATCCTTCACTGATAGCAGGTAACACTCTACCCTCCAAAAAAGTGTGCCACTATTTTTTAAGAGGCTAAGCTTTTGGGACATGGAAGCGATGGCTGGTCTGCAGATTCTACGGGAAAACCGAGGAAGTCCGTTTTGGGGGTTTTCAGCGAATTCGGTTTCCGTGGAGACAACACGGAAAAGAGAAGTGCAAACGAAGGTGGGAAGCATGAGAGTAGGAGTCCTCCACTTAAAAAGGAGAGCAGTCTGGCAAGACCTCTGGAGGGCAGGAGTATTTGTAAGTCACATTGTTTTTGCCAATCCAGACAGTCCGGCTGACCAGTTCAGCAGGAATTTGGCGGGCATTGGCGCTCTTGTGGTAAATTGAGGAAATGCAGCTGCAGCCAAAGAATTATTTTAAAGCAAATTCTTATTTTAGCCTTTCGCTAAAGCATTCGCTGCATAATGCATAGAGCATGCGCAAATCTGCGTTACAGCACTCCGCGGGAGGGGCCAAGTTAGTACCCAGAAAAAGAGCAAAACTTGAAGACCTGTAGCCACTCATGGCATCAAGGATAGCTGACGCTCTCAAAGCTGACATTTTTTCACGGAAAAAATAATACCAGAAGCTCTAGCCCTAGACATTGACTCCCACGGATCGGGCCATGTCGCTGCACTGGCGTGCCAGCTGTGCATGTAGGACCTCGGTGACTGCTGCATGACCTGAAAAGAATGAAATGTCCACCCACTTCTCTGTCCTTCTTTAAAATCTACATGAACACCATACTCGGAAGGAATTGTCCACTTTGCCTGTCGTTCATATGAGCTGAATGCCTCGGTTTTCTCTGCGGTCACATCGCGGGCACTACCATGCGGCTGCTAAAGACGCACTTGATTCGGGCACATCTTTCCATGTTTAGACACGAATGCTTAAAAAGCGCTTTTTTCATTTGGAAGCCAAGGCGCCTGCGTGTCAGTTTTGCCGTATGTTATCTCCCGAGACTACCGCAGCGTTTTTCAGCCTTTTGAATCATTGAAATGAACCGGAGCCACCTTGGAGAGGTCTTGTGGATTTCTGACGCGACGTAGTCCCAGAAAGGGATTCTGACATTACATGCGTTTTGAGTTTTAGCATTGAAAACACCCAGAACAGACGAGTACTGGGAATTTTCTTTTCCATTCCAGGAGGGCCTGCTGTGCCCGGCGCAAACGCAGGCGAACTGCAGACCAGTTAAAGCGCCCTTTCCTGCATTGCAGAGCAGATGCTTGAAAGATGTCGGCAATCAGTGTCTTCCAGAGAAAGGAAGAAAGTGTCACGACGTATACCTCGTCCTCGCTGCCAGAGAGGGGGGCTGTGGGCCTAGTGAACATTGGCAACACGTGTTACTGCAATGCAGTGATGCAGGTATTGTTTTCAGCTAAGGCCTTTTGTCTTTGGTTTCTTCAAGGAGATATTCGGCGGCTCGCTTCTAACCCCAGATCACGCTTCCATGGCCGTCTTTGCCATGCCTGGGTGAAAGTGTTACAAGAAGTGTATGAGCAGCCGTTAAAGCCCAAGAACCCACAGCCGTTGAACTGCAAAGCTCTTTTAAATGTTATGCGTTCCGAGCATCCCGTCTTTTCAATCAATAAACAGTGTGACAGCCATGAGTTTTTACGCGCTTTCCTCGACGGTATTTCTGCCGACTGCAACAGAGTCATCAAGCCCCGAAAGCGCGTGGAATTAGATGACAGACAGGGGGAGAGCATGAGAAGCTGCAGCGAAAGATTTTGGCAAGCTGCGCTGAGAGATGAACAGTCAGTTGTTACAGATATGTTCGGCGGCCAGCATGCCACAAAGATCACATGCTTAAGATGCAGCAATGTCAGATACAGATTCGACAGCTTCCTCGATATGCCGGTGGAATTCAGTAGCCAGGAGGACTCTACCAGGGAAAGCCTTGAAGATATGATTGAAAATTGCTATGTTAGACGCTTTGTAAGCCGGAAGTGCATGCGCCTGCCCTTTTCCTGCCAGAATGACCACATACCCCCTTAGCCGCTTGGCTAACCTGCCTCTCAGCACCATCTCCTCTGCTGCAGCGCCTTAAAGGCAAACCAGCAAGCCCCTTGTTCTGCTGCATTTTGCAGTGTCATTCTTGCATCCCTCTCTTGCATTTTATTGCGCTTCCTCGTGTATCCTCAGGAGTACAAGGAGCTGGACTGTGGCATTTGCGCTGCGCGGTGCCGGTCAGAAGTCCGTCACATGCTGTACCGCCTTCCATCTGAATACCTCCTGATTCATGTAAAACGCTTTCGCTGGCTCAAAGGCATAAAGTTTGAGACAAGGATGAACAACAAAATCGTTCTCCCACGGTCAGGTACTCTTGACATGGAGCTCTACTGCCCCTTTTCCGGTACGCCAGGCCCGTTGATTCTCGAAGCATGCTGGTTGTTGTTTCATATCCTAGAAAGTAATTTTCCCCTTCTGATGCTTCATTCTTATTTGGTGTGTGCTCGTCGCATCCTGCTTCGGGGTGCTTTATGCTCCGTGGAGCCCTTCTTCGACTACATGGGCATATGAAAGCCTGCTTACACGTGTGCGACAGACGATCCCTCAACTGCAAATGCAAAATTTATTTTGGAGGGAATAGTGTGCCAGAAAGGAAGCTCTGAATCTGGCCATTACACTTCGTGAGACGCTTTGTTTCCGCTGCCGCTTCTGCCACATTTCTCCCTTCCCTTTCAGTCCTCGTTCCCACGGCCGTCCGTCGCAGTCACCTGCGCTTTGAGGGGAAGTGTTTGTGTTGCGGTTGCACTTGTTTGATGCCTTAGAGCCGCGGTTGTGGGGAGTCAGTGGCTGTACTTCAATGACGCCCACGTGCAAACCTTGCGCCAGCCCCCCGATGAAGGGACGATTTATTTGCTGCTGTACAGAAGAGCTCAGGCGTACTGTGGGTCCACACATGTGTGCCTATACACTTGAATAGGGCTTGACGTTTATCCCTTCGGGACTTTGACCTCCTTCAGTGTCTCGCGTTTCGCATTTTCCCTCCTCCTCCCCCTTTTGAGGCTGTTTGTGCCGTCCCCCATCCCCTGTGCTGCTTGTTGCTGCCGTTTTCTCATTGCGGCTGCCGTTGCAGTTCCTCCGTCATCTGCCCCCCGAGGCTTCTTCACCTTTGCGCGGAACGGCCAAGCTCAGTGGAATCCCACACTGTCAGCTTTCAAGCGCGAGACGATGAACAGTCATTCTCTAGAGGCCTGGGCAGCTCTCGTAGGCTCTGCGATGAGTGCAAGTGAAGCAGAGGGGGCGTTGATGAAGGGGCCAAGAAAGTTGAACGTTTCAGAGGCCTGTTCCGTGTCCTACGGCACTCAAAGACACCCTTCTGCCCTTTTTAGCTCGGAATGGACGCCCCTGTCGAATAATTTGAACAGCGTGATGCAGGAAGAGGGCAAAGAGAGAGCCTGGAGCGATCCCGCGTCATCGCACGTGCTGCATACAAGCGCACAGAAAGATGTTTCGTCGAGCCACTCTGCCGTATTTGAAGGGCGCAGCAGCACCCAGTGTGGTGCTGCAGCAACTGGCAGTCGGGGTCCTCCCAAAATTCCCTGCAGCAGCGTCGAGCGTTCTGATCGCCACGGGAGCACCTGCGCCTTCTGGCCGAAAACGGCTTCCTCGTCAGCCAAGACGGCCTTTCTTGAGGACGCGACGGCAGCGGAAGTCTCTTCTGATTTGCTCCGCCTTCGCATCCAGGAGCTGCCAGAGCACCCGCAGGACCGACTCTCCGCCCCCTTGTTAGGCCCTGTCCCCCCCAAGGGAGCCTCCTCGCACACGTCGTGGGAAGAGACGCTTTTTCGCGCGCCTCAGCCTCGAGCGCCCGACGACGAGCGGCAGCGGCAGGCGTTCGAAAAGACGCTTCCTTCGCTGGACCCCTCCTGGAAGGGGGGCGACTGTCTCGCCGAGCAGGGGGTGGAAGTCTACTCAATTCCATGCTTTACCCGCGCATACCGCTCCCCACCCTGTCCTGCTGAAGTCTCGGAAAAGCTCCCAAACTGGGAGCTCCAGAAACACGAATCTCCGGAGAAAGGGGTCCAGAGGGAATCCTCGCGCTTCGAAACACGAGCACACCGTCACTCAGGCTCAGCTCAGGTCGCGACATCTCGCCTTGTGTCTGCCCCCTTCCCCATTAGTCCCATGCCTGCAAGAAGGCCGGTGCGGACTAAGGTTGCACGAACAGACGAAGCAGCAGTAGCGGCTCTTCTGGAGGAGGATTCCTGGGGGCAGGAAAGGAATTGCAACAGTATGGGCGGACGGGAACACCACAGCGGGTAGTGGCGCGCGAGCAAGTGCACGCTTACCTCCCGCAGGGGCGACGGTTGAAACGGAAACATCACCTTCCTGCCTGAACGGAGGGAGAGAGCTGGGGGGAGGGGCGGTCCAGAAAGAGACACAAAGGGCAGCTGACTCATCGTCGTGTACTCAGACCAACCCGCAGGTGAGTGGACGGCTGTACTTCTTGCAACAACGGCCAAGACAACGCGTGAAGCATCTTCACATTGCTCTGCCTTCGATATCTAGCAGCATTCCTGTTTATGGGCTCCCTGCTGCCCCTTAAGGTCCATTTCAATGAGTGTGAATATGTTTCTACCTTCTTTGCTGGCTAGATCGAATGCCTCTGGAGTGAATACATGAGAGCGATTCCACCAAGCTACTAGTGCAGTAGCTTGATGGACGCCCCGGTGTGTCAGCTGTCGATTCATGGGGGGACAGTGTTTTAAGGGGTCCGGTGGGTGGCTCCCCTGGGAATCCTTCAGAGAGGACGCCTATCAGTGAGAGGCCCCTTTTCTCCCTTTGGCTTCAAGTGCTTTCCCCATTCGGGAAGGAAAGCTCTCCGGATCTCGATGAAGCCAGTTTGCTTCTACATTTCAGGGAGAGGCGCCAGTAACTGACACTGCGCAGGCGTCTCAGGGACGACCTGTTTCCTGTACACTTCAAATGTATGTGCAAGCAGTGGAGTGACTACACCGCTTCGCTCGGTGCCCAGGAATTCCCCCTTTGTTTCTGCTTGCATTGTGTATGTATTCACTATATACAACGCGCTGATACATTGAAGCTAGATGAATTGATACCTCCACGGTGTCTGCACGGTCCACGTATACTTCCACGCCCTGGCCTCACACGATACATCACGCCGTCAGTCCCGTACAAGCACCCCTCCGCACGCCGTTTGGTGTGAGCATATAGCTTAGGGGCCATCTGTGCATTAGGGATGGCTCAAGGGTTTTGCAAGCGAACCCAAAACACGTGTTTGCTGAGTAGAAATAGATTCGGCACAAGATCTGGACAGGCAGGACAGGATGACGTTAACGCAAATCGATGCTACATCCTTGTTGAGTAATAGCGTGTATTAACAAAGAGTGGCCCCTGAACTACCACATGGCCTCATTGATGATTGTGTGGGTGTGCGAAGTCAGATGCCCACAATGGCCAGCGCTATGTTTAAGGATCATCATGAGCTGCGCAATAATGCGTGTCTCCCCCAATAGAAAGCCCAACAAACAAGGAACAGATAGCCTCTCACTTGAGTGTTTTCTCCGTTAGTGCCATCCGTCGATCAGATCCACATACTCTGATCGGAAGGGCCCTGACACGAAGTCGGAGCCAGTTGAGCTCCCACCCCCCTTCTATAGCCAAGGTTCGAACTGGATGAATTTTTTCATGTCTTCTATCCTCCAAGCCTACTACTTAACATTGTTTGGCCAAAAATGAACCATGGAATAAATACAAAATGGGAATTACAATTAAGAAGGAGTGAGCCCAGAGCGACTCGAACGCCCAGCCTTCTGATCTGGAGTCAGACGCGCTACCATTGCGCCATAGGCCCTGGAAGTACGCGCGGGTTCTTATCTTCATGGCCGAAATTCTTCAGCAAACATGCCCAGTACAACACCACTATTGGGCATGAAATGTGATGCAGTGTAATTGATTGACTCGCTAGGGTGAAAAAAATGCTCTTTTGCATGCAGGATTTCGGGTGACCACTCACGTTTAGTCGAGTGTCAGTCCAAAATGCCAACTCTCGGGTAGTGACATACTCAGGAAAACATTTTTCTACGCTTTCCTTGCCTCTTGAGATCCTTCTACAAAAGCCTCTAGAACTCCTAAAATTGACTTTCAAGTAAAATGTCGCCTATGACGGGGTAGAGCTGTAGAAAATGTTGCGTACTGCCGATTCCTCCAAATTTCTGCTTCTTGCCTGTTTTCGCATCAGCACCGGTTTGTACATGTTTCTTAGCTGTATGATAGCTCTTTTTTCTTCGGTCATGGACTAAGGCATAGGGAACCAGGCATTCTTACACAGAGCACGGGGGATCTAGTCTCCCCGTGTTTTCCTAATCAAGGATTATCTTGGTCACGAATCGTCCCCGAGGAAGACTTCGGTACTAGAAGCGTGTCAGTCCTCTCCTCTGTGACGCGTCTGCTCTAGCTTGGATCGTTGTTCGGAGTCATAGGTGAAGCGTTTACGTGAGGGCTTTAGCTGCGGGAAACAGTGAGGAGTGTGTGGAGGGATCGACAAAGGAGCAGTATAAGAGAATAACTCAGGGAAGATGGCGAAGAATATAGTTGGGAGCTGGGGAGCACAAGCATATACAGTGAAACTGTACATTGCAAGAACAAGAGAAACTTGAGAAGGGTGAAGAAAACATTCAAGGAATGCAGGCAGTGCCTTACCCTTCGTTTTTTCTCTGCTTCCTCGATTATTCTCTCTTTGCTTTCAGGCCTTGATATAAAACCGAAGGGACTGCTGGTCAGCGGCTGTAGAGAATTGAGCTACGGTTCTAAGCAGTTCCTACAGCCTCTATTTCTTTAGCTTAAGATTTAATAAAGAACCATGTGTTTGGTTTGTCTGTCCGTATATCTCGTTTACTGCAGAGTAGCGTTCGCTCGATACAAAAAGATACACTGTCATGCGTGTAGTGATGCACTAGATGTGTGCAACTATCAGTCAGTGCTCGTAGCCGAGAGGGTGCAGCTACGTGTTATCTGGCTGCCCCGCTCTACTCGTGTTGGAAGGTCTGTGAGGCGGTGGTAGGAAAAAGAGAAAGCCAATTTGAGAAGCATGCAGTAAAGTTTTATTATCTTCCAATATAGGCTAAAGGTACGCATCTCCTTGCGTAGACCTTAGGTGGAGTGTTGCAGCCGCTCTCTCCAGTCTAACAGCAGCAAGCGACCGAAGATTAAAGTATGACAGAAAAGGGAAAAACAAGTTCCTTTAAGTACATGACAGAGGATGGAATTAGGATGAGGCAACAAGACCAGCAAACCGCTAAGTAGAGCTCTCTTCACTACTGCTGCTGCTACTGCTACTGCTTTCACTTCTACTGCTTTCGCTGTGAGATTGAAGGGTCCGGCGTGCCTCCATGCGAATCGATTTAGGTAGTTTCTTTAGTGCAGCCCTCGCCTGGTCTGAACACAGCCACATCACCCCACAATCATCGGCTCTTGCGCCTTTCAGTCCTGTTTTGAGCCTCTTATGCCCTGTTTTGGGCACGCTGCTCATGGAAGCGTAGAGGGATGGTCTTTCGGAAGGGTCAAACGACAAGAGGAGGCATACCCGGGTAAGCAGCGACTGCTGTTTGTAGCCAGGCACAAGTCGCCTCAAGAGCATTGCGCTGCAGCAGCAGCGCAACCCTCGA